CCTTTTCCAGTACGGGAAGATTGTGTGTGTGTTTGTGGGTGTGGGTGTGTGTGCTTCTGATTACAGTTGAGATTTACAAAAAATTTTGTATATTTTGTAAAGTTTTCAGTCGGACTGTCAGGCAGTGGCCACGTTTACATGCAACCAAAAAATCTGTTAGAAATCAGATTGACAGCACAACCTAATGTGAACAACTTAATCGATCGAACTGAGCTCGATCCCAATGAAATTTAACTCCAATTCAAAGCGGTGGTTTATTTCTTTTCTAATCCGATCAAGGCAAGGCAAGTTTATTTATATAGCACATTTCATACACGATGGCAATTCAAAGTGCTTTACATAGAAGAAATTAAAATAATCAAAAGAAATCTGAATAATTAAAACAGTTTAGAATCAAAAATAAGAAATAATGAAAAATAAAAATTATGATAAAAATAAAATACAGTAAATTAAAACCATTTAGAATAAAATGAAGTACAGTAACAGTCGGACGAACAGTGGCACAGTGCTCATTCAGTAAATGCACAGCTAAACAGATGATCAAGAGAACATGTAAACACTTGATCAAATTGAACACCGAAGTTGAAATTACTGCGCATGTGCAATGGTGTAGAAATAGTGCAATGATGTTTGACACGCGGAACAAGCCGTTCTTCCTGTTGAATAAAGCGTAATATCAATAAATTCCCCTTTCACTCTTCAGTGTCTATAAAGTGGAGCAGGACAACGTCCCACCAGTGCTTGTTTCAGACTCTCATCTACAGAAGACGGGCATGTTTACTGTGTGATAAATATAAGCAGCGGCACCACAGTTCACATGCTCATCGTCTCCAAATTATGACCAGAGACAAATATGTCTGCTGTTTATAAAGAACCAATGTAGGAGAATAGTTTTTTATGTGCAAACAGCAGGAAACTGAATATTTGTGCAGTGTGCGCATGTTAAACAATATTTTCAGATTTGAAGCCTGTGACATATAAACCCGCACATCAATCACATGTTCAGCGTTCATGTAAACACTACATTCATATTCATCAATCAGAATGAATTCAGTCAGATTGAAACATAAGTTGTGCGTGTAAATGTTGCCAGTGAAAGGAAAGCGGGAGCAGGAATTACTCCAGCGCGTCGTAGATGGATCTCATGTGCTGATAACTACAATCATATGGGCCGAATATTTTCAGTTCAGAGAGGATGGACATCCTTTGATGAAGATCAATAACATGTGAAGTTGAAGTGCTGTGAAATTCTTCAGATGGGTTGGGAAAGGGAATAGTTCAGACTTCAGTCATCATCAATCTCACAAATCCTTCACTAATGTATGCGTTAGATTAAAAAAGATTACAACGTTCACAGAATCTCTGTTTATAATGTTGATGAAGGTATATCAGTTGTATTGACCAGTTGCACTCAATTCAACAATTTCATGTTTCATACCCCTCATATTTATGCTTTCATTAAACTCAATTGCTCTAGAATCTATTAGTAAACAAGTTAGTTGTAACCATAGATATGCATATAAAGGCTAGATGTGTTATGGCGGAGCATTGTCATCACCGGCGGCCATCTTGTCACAGACAAGCTGATGTAAGATGAGTGGTCAGCACGAACACAAATTTATTTATTTATTTTATTTATTATATTTATTTAACAGGGACAGTGTATGGCATGCAGCCATACCAGAATTAGCTACAAGCTAAATTTCATCTGTAGTCCCTGGGCAGGAAAGGAAAACATAACCAACAATCCAGCAACACATATAAAACCATAAAACATCATCATAAAAACATAACATAAAAACATCACACAAATGTGTTCAATATGCGTATTTGAACACACAAATGTGTGTACAGAGTATTTGAACACACAAATGTGTTCAAATACTCTTATCTCGTTGAAATCTTGACGGATTTACAAACGGTTTGGTTTCTTACAAATGTTATTAACGTGGCTATAATTATCTGGATGATTATTTATTTGTACACTTTTTATTCATAAGTATGCAGTGTCATAACTACATCTCTGACGTTTATAACAAAACTAACCGTTTGAAAATCGGTAGAAAATTGAGCAAGCTATGGTCATTTAAATAGTACATGTACCATTAACAATGTTACGAGTGAGCGAGCTGCCTGTGACAAGATGGCCGCCAGGTGCAGACGTCGACCTCCATTGGCCAGCAGCGTGGACGACATATCTAGCCTTTATATAGATATCTATGGTTGTAACGGTCATCAGCTGAAGTGCCCTTGAGAGCCACCTGAGGGCACTCCACATCATGATGATTATTATTAACTCACAACTACATTTCCCATAACTCCCTGCCCGGACTCATCAACCTTCATTATCACATTCAGCTGTATCTCATATTGTTTAGTTCACTCCATATATACCATAAAACTTCAAATAATATCCGAGTCCCAAACAGACGCCTGTCTATATTTACACGCCTGGTGTGGCTGCAAGTTTGGGTAAATAAAAGCAGGTCTCAAATAGAGGCCGGGTCTGTTTTTTTTAGTTTCGGGTTGTATTTATTCTTCTAAAACCCGTCAGATCGTTTGTTTTTTTGTATTGTTTGTAGAATTTTGAGGAAAATAATTGAATCCATTTTGGAATAAGGCTGTAACATAACAAAATGGGGAAGAAGAAGTGAATAGCTGTGAATACTTCCCAGATGCACTTTATGATGAACACCAAAATGACCACAGTCATGCGCAGGAGAGTGTGTTCATAAATTGATGTGAATCCCCTGAAGTATTGCTCAAGAATGAGAAATGTTATCTGTGTTTGTCTCTCAGGCAGCTGCAGAGTACGCCAAGTCTCATCTTCCCGTCATGTTGCGCCAGCAGCTTCAGAAAGAAAACAGTGCTCGTACTCCTCAGTCCATCCTCAGGCAGCAGATACTCAACATGGACAAAGAGATGCTGGAGAAACTGTCGGCCTCTTATGATGAAGCAGGTGAGAGATGGATGGCTCAGAATCACGATATACTAAGAGCAAGTCTATGACAATTTAACCTTCGACCTGAGAATCAAACATGACGTGATGAGGTCATGTCATACTCTGTGCTGCTTTGAAAAAGGTACCTGACAGTATTCAGTATCGCATGATTCTGGATAAATTGAGATTAAAATTCAGTTAAATATACACGCACACACATATTTTTTTTTTACATTGGTTAAATGAATGATTCAATGACTCTCTCATAAATATTTCACTTGTTTCATTACTGGACGAATTAGTTGGTATTTCTAATTTGAGGTTAAGACATTATGGGGTGGTTTCCCTGACCAAGATTAAAGAATCTAGAATAGTTAATCATGTCTTTAAAAATGGCTTTCTGTGAACACAGATTAACTACAAACACCCCCAGATAGCAAACTGACATTGAATCAACGTGGAAATATGACATCGAAACAACGTTGATCTGACATTGTTTTGCTCATCGAATTAACGTTGAACCAACGTCAGACGCGTCATTCTTTCAAAACTAACGGAAAATCAACTTGAAATCAACGCGTTGTTTCAACGTTATGAAAGCAAACCAATTTTCGATTTTCATTTAGCTTTGAAGAATGCCGCGTCCGACGTTGGTTCAACGTTAATTCGATGAGCAAAATCAACGTTGTTTCAATGTCATGAGAGACGTCGTTTCCACGTTGATTCAATGTCAGTTTGCTGTCTGGGCCTGGACTATGGAGTCCTCAACTAAAATATACTCGAATAATTTAACACCACCTGTGCAAACCAGGATTAGCTGGATTGAGGTTGCCTGCTATAAAACATGGAATGAACAAAGAAAAGGTTAAAATTGTATGCAACTGAGAAGCAAATGGCAATGGAAATTGAAAAGAGAGAGCGATCAAAGAACTTTTCTGAACATGAGAAAAGTCTTTTAAAGAAAATAGGATCGAGACATCCTGATATCGAGGATAAACGGCAAACATCAGCTGTTGAATCAAAGAAAAGGAATGCCTGGACATCTATTTATAATGAATTTAATGCAAATTAACATGCATCTACAAGAACAATACAGCAACTTCAGTTGACCATCTGGACAGTTCAGATGATGGATCACATGCACCTATATTAAGTATTTGAATTTGATTTTGGCTTTTGTTTCTCTCCTCTCAAACTTATATTTGCTTCTGTCATATGATTTTAAACATTTCCCCATTTAATCTGTTTTTATTTGACCATATATGAACCGTTGATGTTTCAAGGAGGTCAAAACAGAACTGAGGAATTGGAAAGCAGCTTACCCTCCACATCCACAGAAGTGAGGGTGGCAATGTCTGTCAATACTGGTAACCAGAAGAAAAGACTCGCTGTTCATGAAAAGTTGGCTAATGATTTGCAATTGAATTGTCTTCAAATTTAAGTATCTTAAGAAGGAGCATGAAATGAAGATGAAGATACTACAAGTAGAACTGGAGATAAAGATGAAGGGGAGAGAGAGAGCGAGAGAGAGAGAGGACTTGAGAGAGGAGAGAGAGAGAGAGAGAGAGAGATGCAACAGGCTCAAATGTCACATCAGTACATGAATCTGTGAAATAAATATTGTTTTAATAAGAAAAGATGGATGGATGTGGTGGTTTAAGAAACATACCAGACCAAAGAGTTTTACAATTTTAACAAATATTTTGTTTTATTATTACATGTATCAAATCTGAACAGAGGGTTGAAAGTTAAATCAAATATATATTTAAAGTGGCACAATGCAAAAGCATCCCGGTATGCAAGTCCTTCTCTGTGGTTTGTTGTAAATGGTGGCACATCTGGATTATTTGGGGATCTGGGCATCCCTGCTTTTTTAGGTAGTTGTGAAGAACAGCTGTTGCAATGATGACAGTGCAGCATCTACTTGGTTTGAATCCGAGTGTTTTTCTTAAGGCACTGAAAACGACTCTTCCATGAGCCTGTATATGAGCCTGGTTGTAGCGCAGTTGTTCAGCTGTTGTTGGGTGCAAGTATGGCGTAAACAAGAAATCCTTCTGAGCACACCCACTATCACCAAGCAAAATTCCATTATGATCTCTTCTTTCAAATTGAGTATACAGAGATGAGTTGAGGAAAATTCATGAATTATGAGTTGCATCTTTCCAAAAATGTTTGAAAACTAACTGGGGAGTGCATACACCTTGGACATTTATGGAAAACCAGTTCTTTCGGTTCCTGTATTCCTCAGCATCTGGAGTAGAGGGACGCTTAAAGCAACGCTAAGTAAGTTTTTTTACCTTAAAATAATGTTTCCAAAATAGTTTCTGTCTTTCATCAAATCCTAACAGGGTGAAAGGCACTTTGCGGTCCTATATCTGCTATAACCACGCTATGTAAGATCCAGATCGGGTCGTAGTTCTGATGAGACATGAAAAACTACAAATTTGACTTGCTTTACGTAAAGTGTTATAAATAGTCATTGTTTTCTTTTTCTTCATTTCTAATGTCGCAATACATCATACTTTCATGAAATCATGCAACATACTCTACCTTCTCTGTGGACATCGTTAAACAGCGAGCGTGAGTGCGACAGTAGGCTGCGGTAGGATAAATTATTTACCACAGTGGTAATGGACAATTCCACTTCCAACCTGTAGGGCGACCGCAGAAGGAAACTTACTTGGTGTTGCTTTAATGGGAATATGGGTTCCATCTATGCAACTTAAGACTCCTGGGAACTATCCATATTCATAGAATAGTACCTTGTAGTTAGCCTGGATTCTAGCATCAGTGAAGTTTATGTAATGTGGTGCTTTTAATTCACATATGGCCCTGCACACTCTGTGAATGACTTTACACACTGTTGGTTCACTGACACAACATAAATCCCCAGTTTCTCGATGAAAGGTGCTACATGCCAAGAACCTTAAAGTTATGAGCACCTGGAGACAAACTGGAATAGGCTGTCCTCTTTGGGTCACAGATGAAAGCCTGGGTTCTAAGAGTGAAATTATCTTCACTGCATTTACTTTATGCATGTGGAAACAATCTCGAAAACTTATTTCATCAAAACGTTGCAATGGGTCAATTCTGTCTGAAAGAACTTGCCTGGCTGGTGGAAAGTGCTGATCATCACTAGCCCCTTTTCCACCAAAGCATTTTGAGAGCCGGTTCGGAGCCGGTGCCTGCGCGCGAACCAGTTCTTTGTGTTTCGACAGCCAAAGAACCGGTTCTCGGCCAGGAAAACTGGTTCCAAAGTGGCACCAACTCTTTGCTGGACTAGAACCGTTCTTTTATCACGTCATACTTACGTCGGGAGCTGGGGCGGGTTTAGATGTGTTCTTTTCTGACCATCTCAAAGCCAGGAGAAACATTTCCAGAAACACAATGGAGTCCGCCTTTGCAATTGTTATGCTTGAAGTTGGCGCAAGCGTTTCTATTTTTATTTTTATTTTTTATTGAAAACATTATAAGCAAAGAAGAAAACAGTCACGATATAGAACAAATTAATGGAAAGAAAAAAGACACAAGAAAGGGGCACATAACTAATCAGAAAAGATTACATATCAAAGGAAAAGATTAAAAGGCTTAAATATTTCAATTGTTTTAAAGCCTTCTTGGTACACGAGTTAGAGATAATCCCAAAGTAATGTTGTACTTGCAAGCGTTTCTAGCTAAGGCGTATGGCAACGTACACAGTGACGTAATGACGTCGTTCCCTGGGCGCTCTAGTCAGTGGAAAAACAAATAGGTTCTGAAGCGGTTCGTAAGTTGAACCAACTCCGAACCAACTTTGAACCAGCACCAGTTCCGAACCAGTTCTTTTTTGGTGGAAAAGAGGTAACTAACATAGTCCAGTGGTTCTCAAACATGTCCTGAAGGACCACCAACACTCCACGATTTATTTTTCTCCCTAATCAAACACACATTCCATGTGTCCTCCAAATGAAATTAATCTGAAGTTAAACTTGCCTCAATTTAAGCCTCAATTTAGTCCTGAAGTTGCACTAGTCTTCCTCCAGGACTAGACTAAGTCTTAGACTTTTTAAAACCATGACAGAGAAAGCACATTTCTGTTAATCTGATTTAAATGGCCATTTTAGTCTAGGACTAGGCTTAATCTTGGTCTGGGAAACCACCCCATATAGTAGTTTAATCTACTACTGTCTTTAAAACTCTGAAAACCTGATTATTATAATTGAAGAGTTCAGATGCAAAAGCCTCTAAATGCCATTTGGAATTTTCTTCTTTAATGATGATTTTGATCAAACTTGTATATTTAAGTTCAGTAATTTCACTTAATTAACAATTAATAGAGGTAATTATCATTGCCATTTAAGTGAAATCACTGAACTTAAATATACAAGTTTGATAAAAAATCATCATTAAAGTAGAAAATTTCAAATGGCATTTAGAGGTTTTTGCATGTGAACTCTTCAATTACAATAGAGGTAGAAGGCTAGCGAAAATCCCAGATGATGTTATTCCACTTTAGAGGATCGGGGAAACCAATTCTGGCAACACCACCTACACGCTGAGAATAATACCAGACATGCATGAAACCAGCCTGGGCTTCCATTGATAATTGGCTAAGAGTTCCCTTTCGTGAGGTTTTTCAGTCTTATAAACGGGTAATTTGAGCCTAGAGCCTCACTCACGTCCAGTTTGTGCCTCGGTCAGGTACCACGTGTCTGGTGGCCGTTCTGTCTGAAAAGGACTTGACTGTAGCTAATGTTGGCGATTCCAGGGCAGTGCTGTGCGATAAAGACGGTAATGCCGTCCCATTGTCACATGACCACAAACCCTACCAGGTCAAAGAGCGAAAGAGAATCAAGAAAGCAGGTGAGTAGAAGCCCACTGCAGTCCTGCGTGTATATATATTAAATATTGTTTAGGATTGTTTTTTGCATCGTCACATTGATGTCCTATCAATTAAAAACATTTTACCCTAAAAATCGTATTATTGTAATGTGTTAATTGTAAAGTATTTATACATTAGGGTTTACACTGATTTAAAGAGGCTCTATAATGTAAAATTCACTTTTATAGTGTTTCCCCAAATTCAACTGAAAATACAACTTTTAACGACTTCTGCAGTCTCAAAATTATTCAACCCCTTCAATATAATCCCGCAAAACAGGTGTTGTCTCACTAATCAAGGGATACATTAGGTGCACCAGGTGTGCTTAGGCTAGAACACATGAAATATCTGAACTGGCTATTTCAAGTCAAGTCACATTTATTTATATAGTGCTTTTTACAATACAGATTGTATCAAAGCAGCTTCACAGAGAGGTTTGTTAAGTGTCACGTTTGCATCCTATGGCATTGGAAACCTACTGCATGTGGAAGGCAAGATGGATTCATTGAAGTATCAGGAAGTCCTAGGAGAAAACGTCATGCCGTCAATGAGGAAGCTGAAGCTTGGACCTTTCAACAGGACAGTGATCCCAAGCATACCTCAAATTCCACCAAGGCTTGGTTGCAGAAGAAGTCATGGAAGAGTCTACAGTGGCATCACAGTCACCTGACTTGAACCCCATAGAAAATCTCTGGTGTGATTTGAAGGTGGCTGCAGGACACAAACCCAAGAATATTACTGAACTGGAGGCCATTGGTCATGAGAAATTGGCTCAGATTCCTCAGAAGCTGCTGTCTGGTTATCCATCTCGTTTGATGAATCGACCCAAATGGGAGGGAGTACTTGATGTGTCTCTACCTGAGCACCAGTAGTGAAGGGTGAATAAACTAGAGCTGTGGGTAGTAAAGCACTCTAACAATCACCCTAACTATGGGAGTACTATCAGCATGGCCCTGAGAAAATGTTTTTTGGGGTCGAGGCCTATTTATCTTTATAACAAGACAAGTTTACTTGTTTCTCTACTAAGCCCGAGAGCAATGGAGGCCTCAACTTTCAGGGCAACAACATTCAACCTTGTGACTTGGGTTTTAATTCAAGGAGCCTAGAGGAAAACCAAAATAGTGCAAAGGCGGGCATAGGCTGGACGCCTCTTGTAATAAGAGGAAGCCAGTACCAGGGAAACTAGACCTTACAGAAGATGAACTGATGGGCTCTAGCTCTAGATACCGAGGGGCTTCAGTAACATTAGTTTGATTTATATGTTGTTTATTGTTGATTATCGCGTTAATTTACATATGCATATGATTACATATGAAATTGCTTGTTTCTGCTTCTGCTTTACCTGTGTTGTGATCATGAGATGCTGTACTCTTTCATAAAGATGTGTAATAGCACCACCTACAGTATAACAGTGGAAACACTGAAAGCTGGAAAATTCCGTCAATGGCAGGGAATGAATTAAATATGTTCTGCAAATGTTATAGATTTATTAGCAGAACTGTCATTGTGTGTGTGTGTCTGAAATACATGGCTCATGACTTCCTACATAACATAAGTCAAGTCACCTTTATTTGTATAGCGCTTTTTACAATACAGATTGTATCAAAGCAGCTTCACAGTGATAACATGAAAATAATACAACACAGAGCATAACAACATTTTACTTTTTGAAACACCTTGAATTATTTTATTGAATGGCTGGCCTGGTTTAATCCTGCAGTAATCAGCTTCTCTGATTTAGGTGGCTTCATCAGTTTTAATGGCTCCTGGCGTGTGCAAGGTGTTCTTGCCATGTCCCGTTCACTTGGCGACTATCCTCTAAAGAAGCTGAAGGTGCTGATCCCTGACCCTGATGTGCTGAACTTTGACCTGGACAAACTACAGCCTCAGTTCATGATTCTGGCTTCAGATGGACTCTGGGATGCCTTCAGCAGCGAGGAAGCTGTGCACTTCATCAAAGAGCGACTAGATGAGCCGCACTTCGGTGCGAAGAGCATCGTCCTGCAGTCCTTCTACCGCGGCTGTCCGGACAACATCACTGTGATGGTGGTCAAGTTCAGAAAGAGAGGCTCCAAAGCTGCTGGCTAGTGAAGATGGATCTGCTCTCACATGTGATCATGGAATGCACACCAATATCTGAATGAATGAGTAACTGGATGAGCAGTTATCATTATGCATAACTTTAACATTAGATAAAAATATTAAAAGGCTGTATTTTTTGAGAAGCAACGCTTTCTATTTAAATTGAATGGTACGGATTTAAGCAATCACTTCTTCATTGCAGGTATAGCTCCCCTGAGGAACATAAAATAGAATTTTTGAAGAAAATTTCTTTCAAAAAAATCTGTTCAAATATCATCATTATCCCACATTTTGATCAGTTTTTTTTAATCTGTAATGATGGTTTTAATTTCCCTGGTTATTACAAATGTAACTTTTCTGCAGAATGCACCCTTTGCCCCATATTATTAAAGCCTGTTTCCACAGAAAAAAAAAGAAAACATATTCTGACTATTACACGCAATTCTGAGAAATTAAGTCGCAATTATCTTTCAAAATGTTTTATTCTGTGAATAAAGTGCAAGACTGAACACACACTGATGAACTCGGCCTCGCCGAACATCTCCCATATTAGACTGCCCGTCTGAGGGTTCAGGGACCACTCGCTTAGGGGAGTGTTGCCCCGTGAGAGCATATTCGCACTCAGATTTTGGACACCCGGGATGTGCGCTGCTCTCAGAGAGCTCAGACTGGCCTGTGCCCACAGGAGGTCCCTCACCTAGCATGCAGGTTACCTGACCTGATGCCACCATGGAAATGTATGCCACCACTGACATGTTGTCCGTACAGACCAGGACGTGGTGACCCCTGAAGTTTGATACAAAAACTTTCAGGGCCAAACCAGCTGCTTTTATTTCCAGACAGTTGATATGTAACGAGGCTTGCCCTCGTGCAGGCCTTGAAATTGGACATGTCTGTAAAAACCACCTTCCTTCTGGAATCTACCCCCATGGTCACCCCATTGTGGTACCAGTCCTGAGACCATCAGGGAATCAGTGTTCTTAAACACCCGTGATTCACATTTACATGTATTCATTTAGCTGAGGCTTTTATCCAAAGCGACTTACAATTGCTATATATGTCAGAGGTCGCACGCCTCTGGAGCAACTAGGGGTTAAGTGTCTTGCTCAGGGACACATTGGTACTAAAGGCATGTGTCTTATTCACTCCCATATCACCACCCCCATAATTCACCATAATGCACAGGCTGCTTGACTGCCATGCATGGGTTGGCACACAATGTTTCAGCCAGTGCTGCAGCGGGCACATGCGCAGTAATCCCAAGTGGAGAACTGATAATGCAACTGCCATTAGACCAAACAGTTTCAGAAATTTCTTCAGAGGCGCTCCCTGAACGTAGCTGCCGGTGTCTATATAGAGAGCGCGTGCGCTTGAGTGAGCTGCGATTTCATTGTCACAGAGTTTAAAACCGTGCCCAGAAAGACTACAGTCTGGCTTGGGGTCAGTTCGCGCTTGGTAACAATAGCCGCTTTCCGACCAAGTAGTTACAGGAACTTAGTTATAGGAACTGTCCACTTCTAAACAGTTCTAAGAACTACTCTCCCCCAAACTCGGTTTTGCTGCTTGCGTTCGCACTGGCCAAGTGGCCATAGGAGCAAGCACGGCGACGTTCTTTATAGCGTCATTGTAGTGCGGCCACATATGTACAACAACAACAAACCAGCATGGTGGAGGCTATTGCAATGTTCCTGTTCTGCCTTGCTGGGACCTTAATAACAGAGAATGAACGGCGACGTTTAAAGATTCTGCTTGAGTTCTGTACAGAGAAACACAGAAGACGAAGGCTCCAGCGTAATATGATATTAAGTAATATGATGGAAGAAGATAAAAGAGCAGAGCGCAGGAGGCAAACAAAATGACGGGTAAGTTTAGCTAGCATTAGCAATTAGTTGGTTGAATGCGTTATGTTTGTCTTATACCATGGTCTGGGTGAATACTCGATTCTGATTGGCTGGAGGGTGTCCGTTAAAAAGTGATAGAGGACACCTAGTAAAGTAGTTCTGGTGAAACTGCCTGTTTACCATTCGAAATTAATAAATAAATGCGCTGCCTACAACAGCTGTGAGTAACCATAGCAACAGGCAGTCAAACGTCAAAGTATCCGTTAACAATTTGCTCTATCAAAACAAACATCTAACGTTAGTTAGATATTACATAGCCTACTAATACAACAATGAGCGACTTCGTTATTTCTTTTAACATTTATGGAGAATATGGCAACTTTGACGACTGGGATGCTGCTGAAGAAAGAAAAAATGTAAATAAAACGGAGAAACGTCGCAAAGAAAATTACACCGCTGCTGCTCTGAATGAGACCCTGCGGGAGTTTTACGCAGCTGTCCAGACAACCGGCAGGAGGAGAGTACAGTGTTTCAAGCCTAAGAAGCCTGTTTGATTAATTGTTTTATGTGTAATTAAAAAAAAATAATAACTATGCCTACCTTTGTGTTTCATGAAAAACAAAAAATGCATTTTTGAACCTGAAGGGTTCTACAAGCTGAGCGGACTATAAATATCTCCGGTTGCTAAATAAACCAGGCGAGTTATTATTTGTAAAAACTTGATTTAGCCTAATTAAAATATAACCTAGCAGCTAATGTTTTAAAAATGTTTTATTTGGCAAGTGACCATGGTATAAGCGGGTTAATGCCCTTCGAGGTGTCCATTGTCAGGTTTTAATGGACCTCGCCGTCGTCCATTAAAACCTGACAATGGACACCTCGTCGGGCATTAACCCTTACTTAATCCTCGTTGTAATGTTTTGTAAACACACAGCGTATGGCAGACAGTGCGCTACAAGTTCCGTGTTGACAGTGGGCATGACTTATAAGTTGAACCAATCAACGTAGACCTAGGGAAAGGGAACTAAAAAAGTCCTCGCTCTAGACTAGGTACTGAAAGAGTTATAGGAACTACAGTCTGAGGAACTAAAAAATCCCCAATTTAGTCCAGTCGGAGCATGAGAAAAAAAGGGTTATAGGAACGTTAGGTTCTAGGAACTGCAAAAGTCCCTCCGGTCGGAAAGCGGCTATTGATTGTGAGCCCAGGTATTTTAGATGGCCGAGAATCAAATCCTTGTGAACTATCAGATCGTCTCTCGCTGACGGTGCCAGCGCAAGCCAGTCATCGAGATAATTCAGCACTGACTTTTCAGTGGGGAGAGCGCTGCATCCATACATTTCGTGAATGTGTAGGGTGCCAGGGACAGACCGAACGGCAGAATGGTGTATTTATATGCCCTCCCCTCAAAGGCGAATCTCAAGAATGGCCTGTGACGAGGGTCGATCTAAATATGAAAATATGCATCTTTCAGATCCATTGTAACAAACCAATCGCCCCGGTGATGTTGCCCGAGAATTTGTTTGAGTGTTAACATTTTGAAAGGCCATCTCATGAGAGCCTTGTTCAAATGTCTCAAATCTAGTATGGGTCTGAGTCCGTTGTCTTTCTTTGCGATTAGAAAATAGCAGCTGTAAAACCCTGATTACTGTACCGTGGGAGGGACTAATTCTATTACTCCTTTTGCTAATAAATCCTGAACTTCGGTGCGAAGCACAGGACCCACGCTGCTTCTCACTGCCGACGCGCGAGGGCTGAGGTGTTTCGGCAGGGTTTGTTGGGATGAGTGGCTTTAGCTCGCCCGCTAGCTGCAGTGCTCGGTTAAAGATGAACGGCCACGGCCTCTTCAAGGGGCGGCAAAGAGTCATAACCCTTTTCCGCTGCGCCATCCACAGAGGAGAGCGTCGCGGAAACTGCAGATCCCACACGTGCCGAGTGCGGCAGGCCTTGGTGAGCTCCTCGTGAAAAAATGGCGCTGGATAGTGACGACAGGAACCATCCATCCAGCCGACTGTGAGGCGGTTCCTCGTGTGTGGCCCGCTCGAGGTCCGCGGCAGCTTCTTTGTCAGGATCCAAAGCATTTCGGCGTCGGAGTTCGCCCTGGTTGCTGAACCACTGGCCACAGACTGAGAAGCGGTGATGCATTTTACATATAGGCTTCAGTAAATCGAGGAAAAGGAGTTTCCCCCCACTGCGTATAGCTACACAATATGAAGTGACCGTTCGAAGGGAACGAACCTTTTCCCGAATCTGACCATTTTCTGAAGTTTCCCTTTGGCGGAGGGGGGAATAAAGACGTGAAAGTCTGTTTCTCGCAGAAAGCAACATGTGACTTCATATGTTGACCTCATGACATCAGTCGATTCTTCATTCCAATCTCAGAAGTTACAGAAATTATCATATTTAACAGGCACTGAAGTGTTGTTTGCCTAGTTCTGTTGGAAGGCGTTTTCTGTTAATGTCAAGACCAAGCAAAAGTTTCACTTATTTATGGCTATAACTGTCAGTTGTGAACGAGATGATTGGTTCAAAACACATCAGCACACTGCTGTTACACTTTATTTAAAAGTGTCTTTATTGCAGTGTAATTATAGTTATTAATTAATAAATCATTTTAATTAACAACATGTACTTACTATAGGGTTAGGGTAGGATTAGGGTTTAATCATTTATAATAGTCGTTACTACAGTGACTACATGTGATAAGGACAGTGTAAAATAAAGTGTTACCAAACTACTTTACTAAAACATATTTCAGGTATATCTGACGTTCACAGCCTTGACTTGACTCAGTATGATCATTGGAAGATTTTAATCCAAATATGTTGCCTTATTGTAATGAACAAACTTATTTTATTTCTCTTTCTATCATGCATTTATTTTATTTCTCTTTCTATCATGAATTTATTTGCCAGAAGTGTTGTGTTTTCCAGAATTTGTGTTTACAGTGTCCGGAGTTTCATGTCAATTGTCGATGTATTATTTTATATATTGATGTCTCTCTGAGACGAAGAATAACAAAATGAATGTTTATATTAAATATTAACACAAGGTGATGCCATATCAGTCAATGGAGCCCGACTTTCATAAGCTTCAAAAGCATCATCAAATAATGTTACGAAGCTTCTGAAAATCAGGCTCCTTTGACTGATATTATTCCTGTGCATATTTATCAATTATGACAATTGGTGAGACATGCTTATTTAATAAAAATAAAAAAATGACTCTAAATCATTTGTTGTGTTTAAAATTGTTTAATTTACTGTGTAATGAGTATTTTAAATGTTAAAAATTAAAAATCATGAATGATAAATATTTTGTTAAAAATGGTTAACGGTTGTATTTTATCATTTGTACACAGTAAACAATGTGCCCGTAAATTTTCCACTTTACAGCCGTGCTGTAATTTCAGTAAAATACTGCATACCTGCAAACTCAGAAGGGCTGAATATAAAACCACTGAACATAAAACATCCTTAAAACTGGTCTAGTTTTATCTCTGTTTTGCCATGTGCCTCTTTTGGGCCACACTTTCTTCCTCCACCTCTTCTGCCCTATTTACGGCAGCACTAGTGAATGGCTGGCAGCCGAACTCCGCCCTTCTTTAGCTGACTTTCAGATGCTTTTGCTGTCGCTGGGCTTTGCCCCTGGTTCCACCTGAAATAATGTTCCCACACAGTCTTTGATCTACTGGCTCAAATGAATCACCTTGAATCACCTCATCTAAACATGTCCACAGCACTCAGCTTTCTGCTCTTTAGAGTATATTTGACAGTCTGGATAGCTCTGAATGTGGTGATGTTAATACTTTTCTGGTCAATGATGTTGCCCATTATATTAAAAGAAGATTCAACTAATGGACCATGGAATATTGACATTGCAGGTTTTACTGCTTGACGCCTGGATATTTTCCAGTATCGTGTACACCGGCCCACCACCTCACAACATCATCTCCATCTTGGAAGCTGGTCAGGGACTGTTTTACATTGTACTGGAGAATTTGCAAGCAGTGGCAGCTTTTTTTGCAAGTATCTGGCACACGTGATGTATGCCCGCGAGACTTCCTCCAGGAATGGCTTTAGCAGCTGAAACAGATCAGCAACACTTACTATATACTATCATACAAACTCTGCAGAGGCTCCATAATCAATCATTAATCATTCTAATTGCAGTACACAATTTAAATTACTCACAGGGTGTTGTGGATGTGTCACTCTGAATTGATTAGCCAGTCCC